CACTAAACGGCCATGAGGCATCAGAACTGTTTTTCTTTTCTTTCTTTTTTTTTTTTGGGGGGGGGGGGGCATTTTCCCCTGAGTCTGCCCAGAGGTTCTCTACCTCCAGTCGGGTGATTCTTTCACTTCAGTGCGTTTCTTCCTTGTTCCGTTGGACGTCTGTTTTTTTTTTTTTTTTTTTTCTTTTTTTTTACATCTCTTTGTGATTTCATGTGTGTGTGTGTGTGTGTGTGTGTATAGAAAATAGGAAAATAAAGACTCTTAATAAGTTGAGGAAAACGTAGCACTGATAAGACAAAGAAACACATGTTGAAAATGGAACGGAACAAACAGGAAAAGATTAACATGGGGAAGCCCGGGAATTTGAGGAACTTTTGACGTAGAAGTAGAGGCTGAGCATGAAGAACACGAATTAACAACACGAGTATGACATGGATGAAAAAAGAAAAGGAAAGAGAAAAACAATCCTTAGCTATCAAGGGAAAAGCTTGCTGTTACTTTACATCATATTAATAATAAAGTTTGGTAAAAATAACACCATCGTTATTTATAGCACTAGTAAAAAATACATTTTCCCGCCAATTCAAGGAAAGGTGAAATCAGGTAACATCATAAGATCTACTAAATGATTCCTTTGTGGCACTAGCACTAGCAGAGCCATCTATGTACATATACATTTCATAAAAATATAGAACAGGAACACAGCATTTTCCCATTTCTAATTCCTTTTCCCCGGCGGCGGTAGGTTAAATCTGGCAACTCTGAAGTTCATTGACTTATAACATGTGAGTAGTCTTCACAAACGAATAGTTGAGTCACGTATCCGCATGCACACACACACACACACACACACACACACACACACACACACACACACACACACACACACACACACACACACACACACACACACACACACACAATGAATCAGGGTGAATCAGGCAACCTTTTCTTGTAGCATTTATTGTATGTCACAATGGTCATCGGGTACACACTATTTCATCTAATGTTTACAAAATCCTACACCTGAACTCTCACGCTCTTTTCTATAACAGGATCAAAACGTAAACGGTGAACAGAATCTAAATGACGAAGGGACAAAACTGAGATAATCTATGTGCAACATTCCCAAAAAAGATACCCATCCTTATGTGGTTCTTTTACGCTGTACATGTGTCTTGAATTTGTTCAGCTCGCTGCAACATAGATCCATTCACATACAGATCAGTCTGGTGATTTTGAGAAATATAGATATATTTTTTGCATTTTTTACATTCTTGCAACATAAAAGTTTTATACATATTTCTTTCACTCAATAATCTACCTGACCCAAAAAATCAAGCAATGGTTAATCATATCACAAAATTATGCTGATGCAGTCACTGAAATCCTATCGAGAAGTAATCACATAACCCCATTAATTAATGAAATGTTCACAAAGCATACATATCACTAACCATCTTACTTACAAGCTTGTAACGTGTGAGCCAGTAACCTTCTGATGTGATAAGAGAGGGAAAATATATGCCGTGTGCATTTATTTTACTTCTTTATAATTCAGTCAAAGATCATTAGGAATACTGACTTTCCCTACAATGTAAGACATTAAAACATAAAGAGCACATTATAAAATTGCACAGAAATTCTCATTTATACTGCATTAGGTTCAAAGAACATTTTTTATATATATCTTCACTTGATCTCTATAATACAAGCATATTTTACACACAAACTTAAGTTTGGAAAAAGGCTGAAATATATATATTTATATTTTTAACAATAAGCTTCACTTTTTCTGTATGGTAACAATCGTTCATTTCACCATGCATTATAGACCCTTATTTTACTGTTAACTTTAACTTTGCTTTACTGTTAACATCACTTAAATGTAGAATTTTCCTATGCTTATCTGGTAGTACCCCCACTAAATGTAATGACATATATAAGTGATGTATATCACAATAATGAATCATTTTTATAGTTCTGATTATGACTGATGGAATTTATAAATCAGTTGTAAATTTATAACTAATCCACATATTCACTACATTAAAGGGGATTGGAGGTTTCTAGTTGTTTTAATCATTATAATTTCATCACATCATTACTATAGACACTGTCTTTAGGGAACTCTTTGATATTTAAAAATTTGCATTAACTGTAAACAGGCATTTTAACTCTGAACGGTATTTTATATTTTCTTTTTTGTCTCAACTCTTCTCCATTATCAACAAGTCCTCTATGTATAAACATGTTACATTATTTTTTGGTGCCGTAATTGCAGTTTTCTTTAGACGAATGCTGTATATGTAATAACTTTCTTTAGAATATACTTTCATGTCGAAACATGGTGTGTATGTGTGTATATATATGCCAACTAATTTTAGTATTAGTTATGAGAACAGTAAAATACTCTGTACAGCACCTTAAGAGATGTGATGTAAATGAAAGAAAATATTGAGTCATATACAACTGATCTAAAAACACTTCTCATAATATT